GCTGTCTACACTGGCCGACTGATTTTGCGCAAAAGCACTGACGTTCTACTGTCCAAAATCAGTGCTTCTTGCGCAAATGCTTTGACTTTCCCGTTCGGGCAAAAGCCCTTTTCCGGAAATGTTTTTGCGCAAGAGGGCCAGTGTAGACAGGTAAAAACTGTTTTGCACAAAAAAGCCCCGATGGTGAAAATGGAGATCGGGGCTTTCTTGCGCAAAACCGCGTCTAGATTGGCACGGACGCTTTTCCTCAAAAAGTGCTTTTGCAGAAAAGCGTCCGTGCCAATCTAGATGCTTTTTTCTGCAAATGCTTTTAACGGAAAAACTTTTCCATTAAAAGCATTTGCGGAAAACCATGCCAGTCTAGACGTAACTTCTGTGTTTACTGCATGTGTATCTCTCTTTCTATGTCGACCTTCCCAGAAGGACGGAGAGTGTAAGTGCATCAGGTGTATTAAAGTCAGAGTCTGAATGATAGTAACAGCCAGAGTTAAGGTTACTTAAATATTTCCATTTCCCTATTTGCAGTCGCCTTTGTTTTCCTCTTTTATTGAAGTCTCCAGACTTGCTCCCTGCTTGTAGGCAATTGTTTCTTCGTCTGAAGTTTGTGTTGTCTTTTGTGCATGTATGTGTGTAAAATCAGAGTGTGGGTGGCAGTAAAGCCAGAGTTAAGGTTACTTTGATATTTCCATTGTAAACTCCTATACGCAGTCATCTTTAATTTTCCTCTCTTATTAAAGACTCCAGACCTGTGCCCAGCTCAGTGGCAGTTGTTTCTTGGAAGTTTTTGTAGCCTTTTGATTATGAAGAAAGAAGGAAGAAACATCCACGCTACTCACTGTAGAAAAAAGAAGTATTTTTTTTAACAGCGTCCAAACAGCTGGGGGCAAAAAGAGACAGTGCTCATTGAAGAAAAGGGATTTGTGCCCCTTGCTGACACAAATGTCCATCACGTGTTTTATCCCCAAAGAACAAACCTGGTGGACAGAGAATTTGCCCAGTTTGACAATCCTTAATACACTGACTTCGCCCCGCTCTCTCAGAAAGCGACAGATCAACCATTCCTCTCAGGCTCTGTGCAGCCTTCTCCACAGAACTGGATATGCTGTTGTCAATTATACTAAGCGCATTAGCCTGTTGACACGACCCCCTCTGAGACAATCCCAACCTCAGGATGGAGGAAGGGACTGTCTAGACTAGTACAATAGGTTGCTCTTAAAGAGGCTTTAACTAATTTAGACACGAGTGTAAAGAGGGTTTCAAATGTTTACAAGGTGAGGTTGAGGGTAACTGCACAGCTGACCTTGACCAGCTAATAGGTTTTAAACACAACCTGTTTTCCTTAGATGAGGCAGCATGAGAGATTCCCTTGGTGCCTGTTGGTCTGCTTGGAGTTGGAATGAGCAGGCAGATCTAACAACAATCTATCAGCAACAAGTGGCTCGTTTCCAGACCGGCCCCACATCAGAAATATTACTTGTTGCTGACAACCAGGGTCAGCCACAATCGAACCTTGACAAGCAGGATCCCACTCCAAGTCCCGCCTGGGACCGGTGCCGTTCCTCCCTGTTGCAGACACTGGTGTACGTCTGTATCTCAGCTGTGCTCCGCACCAGCTCCGCTGCACCTGCTGCTGACATCTGTTGTCCACAACAGTTAATTCGCGTGTTATAGAACAGGCTTTCGGATGTTTGAATAAGACGTAAATCATTCATCTCATATACTCTCTTCAGGAATCCCCTGTGTAACACCCCCTAACCAGTTCTCTCAGCTCACAGCTCTTCTTGTCATTCCTCTTGCTCCTTGCAACTAGTCCCATCATCTCTGGACATTTCTACCCCTCCCCCCCCAGTCCAGCTCTGGCAATATCACCAATCTTAGCCCTGTGGTGCATGCAACATGCCAACCTCCAGCTCTATGCAACATCTCCCCCCGCGATCTGCAGCACTTCCTGCTCCCTAGTGCCACCTGGAGAGTTCACCTTCTCTTTCAGGGCTGCTTCTGCTGTTTTGCAGGCGAGCCGTAGGGCTGGATTTATGGTGGTGGGGAGGCAATAGACATTTGAAGGAGTGGCATCTGAAAAATAGAACCCTCTGAATCCCGAAATATCTGGATACCAATCCCAGTGCTCATTCTAGAGAAACAGAAAACAGAGACAAACAGTTTTGATCTTGTGGGGCTATTTAGCCCCATACAGGGAAGGAGGCCCAGCCAAGTACTTAGAAAACAGAGACAAACAGTTCTGATCTTGTGGGGCTATTTAGCCCCATACAGGGAAGGAGGGACAGCTCAGAACATGCAGTTTCAATTTGCTAATTCTCTGCTACTAGTGGGTTACCATCGATGACAGGGTGAAATGCCAAAAATCATTTCAAAGAGAGCGGTGTGAAAGCCCCAGAGGAAACGTGCCGTAGCTAGTCAGGAGGAAGACGAGTGGAGCAAAATCTCTTGCTTTTTCCCTAAATAGGAATGTTTTTTGTTATTCCACATCCATACAGCCAACCAGAAGATGAATTCCAGCAGGGGAGACACATCACAGCGGAGGTAGCGTGGTAAAGACAGGCTTACTATGTGAGGGGAACTGGGCAGGGAGGGAAGCAGTGAGGCTGAGCTTTAGTGTTGCCGTGTTGTTGTAGTAGTGTTGTTTCATGTCTGTACACCTTGTGCTGCCCAGGATTTCCCGTGACTTTGCAGGATCTCACCACTTCCAGCAAATCGGGGGCAGGGGGGAGGAGAGAGGGTGTGACTTTGCATCTCGCACCATGCATTGCCTCTGCCTGCCAGCTTCAGATGCTTCTATTCCAGTTTACAGACTCCAGGGCTGCCTCAGGATTAGGGTTGGGGCTTTCATCTGGGGCAGCTCCGGAGCAGGAGATATCTAAAGCCCCACAGAGATCCCTCTAGCTCACTGGAATGTCACCAGGAGCAAGGACATAATGGGGGTTGGGGAATGGAGTTTGGTGGGAAAAAGAGAGGCTGTTTGGGGAGGAGGCTGCCGGGAAGCCAGGGAATGGGGATTGTGAGATAGCTACATATTTGGAGAAGGTTTCACAGGAGGCAAAGTTAGCTGAACTGTACTTCCAGGTCTTGTGGGGTTTGTGTTTTGTTTGGCTCAGTCTTCTCAATAGATCTGGAGGTCAGTTACCCAGGTGCACTGGGAAGGGCTCAGAATTGGGGCCCAGTGTCCTGACTCCAGGATGAAGGGAGAGGATTCGAGATCCCCGGCATCTGGCTGTTTAGATACCCACGTCTGTGCTCTTTGCTCTTTCCCCCTGCAGGGCGCATGGCCCAGACGCTATGATCCTGGTGGACGGGCAGCCTCGACAGGCCAAAGGGGAACTGGGGCTGTCCCAGATGCTGCACATCGCTAGCCAGATTGCCTCTGGCATGGTATACCTTGCCTCCCAGCACTTCGTCCACAGAGACCTGGCCACCAGGAACTGCTTGGTGGGAGCCAACCTGCTGGTAAAGATTGGAGACTTTGGGATGTCAAGAGATGTCTACAGCACTGATTACTACAGGGTAAGGCAGCTCCCATAACAGCGTCTGAAGGGCAGAGCAGGGGGAGGCTAGGTAAATGCTACTGTCAGACACCAAAACTACTGACTCGCTTGCTTGTTCATTCCTTCTCCCGGGCTCTCATGAACCCTGAAACACATCCTCATGCAACTGCCCATGACTTACAGCTTTGCACATACTTGTACACACACACACACACACACACGGTCCTTATTGAGTAACACACACAAACTCCTGCACTTACACACATTCACTTACTCTTTTACTTATTCAGATTTTTTGCTTTTAGTGCGTGCGCGCGCACACACCCCTCCATAATACACACATGAACGTACACTCTGTATCTGAGAAAAAGACATGATACATTAAAGGGAGTCCAAAGGAAGGTGACAAAGCTGATTAAAAGATTGGAGGTCGTGATCTGTAGATGAGATTAAAGAAATTTAATATATGGGGCTTAGAGAAAAGGCAACTGAAAGAGTGACTGATAACTGCATAAAGTATTGGAGAGGAAATAATAGGCAATTTAGGTTTGATCTCAGGACTGGCTTTCAACAGGGACATAATTTAGACAATGGAATAATTTGCCAAGGTAGGTTGCTCAGGCCCCATCATTAGAGAAGTTTAACAGGAGACTGGATAATAAATAACTTGGTTTAATGCAGAGGGTGATCATGTGCTGGATACTGGAGACCGGCGCAGTGACTCAGGAGTTCCTTTCTAGCCTTATCTTCTGCTTTTACACGCTCCTCTGTCCTGACACAGACCCTTGCATAGCTCTGCAATGCCCCATCTGGCTGATGTAGGAGCTTGGATGATGAGGCTCTGAAGAAAGCTCTCTCCAATACTAGGGATGTTAAATATCGGTTAATTGAGTAGTCGATTAACCTCATGAATTCTTATCAGTTACTCAACTATTCTACAGTGCCCCAGGGCGGGGCTGGTAGCCAGTGAACTCCAGCCCCACTCCCTAGGAACCCTCTGTCACTCTGCGCTGCTGCCTCTGTATCAGAGGCAGCACTGCGGGGTGCCAGGTGAGAGCCGGTCTGCAAGGGGAACCAGTTTAAATACCAGCTCCCCTTGCAAACCGGCTGGCTGTCACCCTGCACTCCTGTCTCAGATCCAGAAGCAGCAGCGTGGGGTGGCAGCAGCCCCTGTCTAGGGGAAAGAGGGACTGAGCTCCCAGATCTGGCATGCGCCGGATCTGAGCCAGGCTGCCTGCCTGCCTGGCTCTTAATAAACTTTAAATGCAGAGCCATAGCAGAGAAGGGTCATGGGCCTGGCATGAACCAGGACTGAGTCAGGCAGCCAGCTAAAAAATGTATTGGCAAGGGGTGTGTGTAAATGCGTTTCGTCTATAGGATTAACCTATAAGCTTTTGCTTATCGGTTAATCGGCTAGTCGACTACACTATTACATCCCTATCCAATACTCCTAGGCTGTGTCTACGCTGGCCCCTTTTCCGTAAAAGGGATGCTAATGAGACACTTCGGAATTGCAAATTCCGCGGGGGATTTAAATATCCCCTGCGGCATTTGCATGAACACGGCTGCCGCTTTTTTCCGGCTCGGGGTTTTGCCGGAGAAAAGTGCCAGTCTAGACGGGATCTTGCGGGATCTTTCAAGTAGGAATAAGGGATCTTCTGGAAAAGGGCTTATTTTCCGCAAGATCCCGTCTAGACTGGCGCTTTTCTCCAGCAAAACCCCGAGCCGGAAAAAAGCGGCAGCCATGTTCATGCAAATGCCACGGGGGATATTTAAATCCCCCATGGCATTTGCAATTCCGAAGTGTCTCATTAGCATCCCTTTTACGGAAAAGGGTGCCAGTGTAGACACAGCCCTAAGGTATGGAAAATTGATTTTGATTTACAGCTGGAGGGGCGGTGGGATGGTATGGAGTATACAGCCCTCTGCCCTCCATAATATCTTTCTCTATATATGCATATGTCTGTACTGCAGAGCTTTTTTGGAAAAATGTCTGTTTTTCCAAAAAAACTTCACTAACGTCCATACTACAATTGCGTTCTTTCAAAAAAAATTGAATGAACAGAGGGGGTTTTCCGACAGTGGTAAACCTCTTCCTATGAGGAAGAAGCCTTTTTCTCATTGTCCCCCTGTCTGCCCTGTCTCCCCCACATGCCTCTCGCACACCAGTGCATCGGATCCCCGCACTTACCTGCTCCTCTCCCTCCATCCCAGCACATTTGGAGCACATGAATTGCCTGATTCGTGCTTGATTGACAGCCTTCCAGCTCTGGGAGGGGAGGAGCATGAAATAGGCAATTCCCACCCTCTTCAAAAGTGCTGGGAGTGAGGGGAGAAGAGCAGGAAGTGCGGGCTCCTGCGAAAATGCAGGGAGGGGCGGGGAGCAGTCAGGGGATCCACAAGCCACAGGTGGTTTAGCAACAGTTGTGCTTGTGGGATTGATCGTGTCCTAGGCTTTTTACACCTAACATCTCACATTAAACTTGGACTTTTTTGGACATCAGAGCTCACTTGTTACTGTTGCTTATGCCCAGTTTGAAGGGCTTTTTCAGGGGTAGGGAACCTCAGGCCTGGGGGCTAGATGTGCCCCCCGGCTTGCCTGAATCCAGCCCCCGAATCTCAGGGGCCACCTCCAGCATTAGGGAGACCACACTGGTGCTGCAATCCCTTCCATTGTCCCACCGCAGGGCAGGAGGACACAAAATCTACTAGACTGGCCCCCCCCAGGCTCTGGTGTACAAGGGGAATGTGGGGGGTGTCTTTCTCCTTCTCAGTTGGGGGCCATATCAGTGAAGTTGTTTTTTTGCTTCTCACTTGCATGCGGCTTCAAACTGATTTTTCTGTGGGTCAGTGGCCCCCAACCCAAAAGAGGTTCCTCACCCCTGGACACCACAGATGGTTGTTGCTGAAGCTACACAGACAGAGAGCAAGATCCCAAGTCTGAGAATCAAAGCGGGGCTCTGACTCCCATTAAGTTGTGGCTGATGAATTCAACCTTTAAGTTCACCCTTTGGGAATGGCTCGAAGCAGTGGGTATAATCCCCATAGTAATTTCTGCTGGGGATATTTCCTGTCGGTAGGGTCCTGAGGCAAAGTTCTATTTTGGATGATTTCTCTACTGTATGGTGTGGTGTATCCAGGTTGAGGCCCCAGAAGAACACTGCAATTTATCATTTTCTGAGCAGGCTGTGAAGGCTTCCATCAGAAAGCTGACAAGATTTGACAGGTCTACAGCCCTCTGAAGGCTGAGACTTTCTTAAATTTGTTGGGTCTCTGGGCTTGCCTTCGCTCAGCGCTGCCGAGTGTGGATAACTAGGCACACGGGATGCGGGTGTGCATTCTAGGTTCGGGATTAACTCCCAGCCATTTCTTTTCTTTTCCATTTTTAATCCTTTAAAACAAAGAGAAAGCACCATCTGGCTCATGCATAAGTAGGATGCAAAATGCTTTACGAAGGTGAACTGCTTAATTTCCTGTTACACATTTGGATACAGAAAACAAACATTGACGTAACAAAAGCAACAGAGTGGTTTGTTCTCCCTCTCTCCGTGTTCAGTCTGAAGACAGATGTGTCCTTTCCCACGCTGATCACTTAGGAATCCCATCAACTCGTGCTTTTAAACCTGCTTTGACAAGACAGGGTTTCTTGTGGGGAGGAAGTGTTTGTTGGCAAGTGTGAAGAGATCTGAGATGAAAATCTTTGATTAGATAGGGAGGGTGGAAGAGTGGGATGAGGATGAGCAGAAGCCTAAAATCTGTGTGCATGGCACAGGATTGAAGGAAAATTGCTGTAAAGTGCTGTTTAATGTTCCATTTCATTTTTGGTTTTGATCCCTGTGGGAATCAAGGATTGAATAGCTGCCTACCAGTGAGAAAAGATATATTTTTTTAATTTCATGAATAGAATCTTTTTCAAAAAAAAAACCTGAGGACTTCAGTGAGGGAAAAGGGGACTTGCAGGTCAGGAGTTAGGCATGGGAAGCCCTGAACTGGAATAGCTGGGATTCTGTAAGTTAAAACTGAGACGCATCAGCAGAGGCATGTGCAGGAGGTCAGGGCTGAGTTTCTCTGGCAGAGCTGGAGTGTGCAGGAGTGGAACAACAGAGGGTGCTGGAGGTGTGAATTGTGCTTGGATCCTAAGTAGATGACTTCCTCACTCACACAATTTTCTCGTAGAAACTACTTCAGCGAAAGATCCCCACTCTGGTCCTTCCTAGGCTTAATGGGACTCTGAGTCTCCCCAGGGAGGTCTTTGGGTTCCCCTTCACCAAAAAGTGAGAGAAGCAATCACAGTGACAGGAATACAACTAAAGGGTTTAACGAGTGGTGAATTGTGATCCTAACAGTTCAGCTTGAATTGGGTGTTTCACCAGTAGTGTGCAAGCCCCTCAAGTCTGTGAAATTTGATTGGAAATGTCAGAAGATGGCATTTTATGGTGATGGTTTGTCACTGGCCTGGTGGGGGCTATGGCCAGAAGCCTGGAGGGGCATGGAAATGGGAAGCTAACAGTTCTCCCCAGCAAACTGGGTGGGTCAGGATTAATATAAGCTTTGGGTAAAAGTTCAGGTTGTTTCTCCTTTTTAATCCACTCCCCTATTTAATTGCAATCCTTTCTGCTTGACACTAGGGTAGTTGCTTGTTTGTAATGGCAGGAGACCAGGGGAAGAAAGGGTGACATTTCTAAGGCTCTGTCTAATGATGCACAGTTACTGACCTAACAGCAGGGAGGGAAGATGGAGGGATGCATAATATTACTTTGGACCCCCTTCTCTCATGGCTCACCTCTTGAGCGTTACTGCTTAGGTAATGTTAATTATTTTTCCCCATCTTCTTGGTGTATTAAGAGAAATTAAAAAAGTTTGCATAGTTTTAATTGCCCCTAATATTTCATTTAAAGATGGGGTGAAAGTAATTTAAGTTTCTTCTATATACCGTTGGATTACACACATGCCCTGCAGGGGAGTGCTTAAGGCAGGAGGCTGAGGGAGTATGATACGACAGTACCTGTAAGAAATGTA